GGGTCCTCCGGAGGACCCGTCCTGCCGTTTTGGACACGGATATAGCTCGCTAGCAGCCTCGCACCGAGGACCTATCCACGTCATCATTTACCCAGAATGCTTTGTGTGTAAATAAAATGGCTCCGTCCGTGTTAAAATATATTTTAATAATTTACAAATAAACAGCCTACAGTATTCTTCCAGTCTTTATTTTACAGTTAAAATAAATGTTTTTCAAATAAAGTCTAATGTTACAACTAATCATGGATCCCTTTGATGAACTGGATTCTGTTTCGTACTTGTTTTAGTCACATCAGGGGTTCCACAAGGTTGTGGACTCGGTCCAATTTGTTTCTCTTCATAATCCAAGGAAAGTCAGCTGCAGGCCGTTAAAAACTGATAAAACTTATTGGATGAGAAGTGAAACTTGTTCAAATTCACAAACTGAGTTCAGTTTTCTCCAGGTAGATGATTGAGAACATGCTCTTTCTCTCCAGAGAGCTTCTTTTAGACAAAACGTAAACGTTCATTCATTAAGGTCATTTCAGTTGTGCACAGAATGTCAGCAGGAYAAACCATAAACTATGATTTAACTTTGGACATCCATTTTGAACAGTTCTGTGCACCCATCTTGTTTTCTTAATAATTTATTTATAAAAGGTGAATAAAATCAGCTGGAGGGCAGAGGTAAAGTAAAACGAAAAATGTGAAACCTGTTCAAACACGAGTTCAGTTTCTCTGAAACATGATGTCATTGTTATTCAGAGCTCATAAAAAGAGGCTGCTTTTGCTCACTGTGTAAATCCTGACTCAGCATTTTTCACTCTGTTTTTATGGGTCTTTTACTTTTCCGTATGATTCTTTACATCGTAACTGTTTCTGCAGGCTTTGTGATATTTGACACTTTTATGTAAAAACAATCTTCGGCTCATATAGGAGACGACTGTCGGGACTTTTGATTTTTATAACTTTTATACTTTTCACTTTAACTTTATTTACAATACATTCAGATCTCTGCAACTTCAGAAGTTCTTTTAAATTTTTCTCTAGAAAACAGGTTCTGCTTTTGTCTTCTTATGCAGTTTTTAGCTTTTAGCTCAAGTTTTGCTACATGTAGCTTGTGGTTCCCCTAGTTGGAGTATTTTGATATTTTTGTCTTTTAGTTTGAGATTTGTTAGTTTGCGTTTTGCTTCTTTTAGGTTTTAGTTAGCTTTCCCTACTTTAAGCTAGCATTTTGATATTTTGGCTTTTAGTTTTTGTTTTGTTTTAGCTTTTAGCTTGTGTTTTCCTAGTTTTAGCTGGCATTTTGCAACTCTTGGTTTTTGTTAGTGTTTAGCATTCTTTGGTTTATTTTAGCTTTTATCTGGTATGTTAACACTTTTAGATTATATTTGATATTTTTGGTTTTTAGTCAGTGTTTTGCTTTCTTTAGCTTTAGCTCTCAGCTGCATTTTAGAAGAATAACTCCAGTGTTTAATGTCCTGACTTTAATTTATCACATAAGTTATAAAGTTTCCGTTTTTAGTTAATTATTTGTTAATTTTGTAAATAAACTCAATAATGTTGAAAATGTTTTTTTCATTTGGTGATTTTTAACTAAATAATAATAATAATAATAATAATAAAGATAATAATAATAAAGATAATATTGTTGACTGAGTTCCTTCTGTAAAATATTAAATTGATTTAAATATTTGAGTCGACACGTGTGTTTCTGAAAACATCTGTGTTGATTTTCAGAGGGACACGATGGCGAGGTTTCAGAAAGAGGAAGAGGAGAAGACCTTGAAGGCCATCACGCTCTTCAGTTTTCCTGAAGGCATCAGCTGGGCTCCGTTAACAGAGTACCACAGGTCCGGCTCAGAACTCACCTGCTCCTCTTAAAGCCTCCGTTTCTGGTTTGATAGAAACGATTCTGTTTATTTTCAGCGAGACTTTCTCCTTTGTTTTGACTGAGATCGACGGCAGCAGGAGGAACGGATACTGTAGGAGGTTACTGGTCAGTCAAATTAAATTAACTCGTAACATTTTTAGAGTTTTTATATCAAAATGTTCTGGTTTTTATTTATTTATTTATTTATTTATTTATTTATTTATTTAAACTGTTCAGCCTGGAGGGAAAGGAGCTCGACCACCGGAGGCGTACTGCATCATCAGCACGCTGGCTTGTTTCGGCCTCTTCTCTGCGGTGAGGACACCAAAACACTCTTTAACGAGTCCACCTGTTCAAACACTTGTTAACACAACAGTCTAATCAGCCAATCACAGGGCAGCAGCTAAACACCTTCAGACATGTAGACGACTTCACCACATCGAGGACAATAAAGGTATAGTTGTTGTGCTGAGGGTTTCAGAAACTGCTGATCTACTGGAATCTTCTGAGGGATTTAAAGAGAACAATAACAATCTCTCCCAAACTAAATCATTTATACTGTATATATGACGATATAGCATTAGCTGTCGTCCTAATACATTTATATATATATATATATATATAT